CACGTGAAAAAACCTCACCTAAACGCCAACTCTGACATTACTACTTCGGGGGGGATGTAGAAAGCACTTCACACAAGGTTACACACAGTTTTACAAACCCATCATCTCCTCTCGGGATGACTGCAACTGCTGCGAGAGGGCTACGTCTCTACAGTTGTTTTCCTCCTGATTTGACACAATATTCCCTTTTCTAGGATAAAGCCCAATTAAAAAAAAAAAAAAATCACAGCTTTCTAATCTAAAGAATTTACGAAAACGCACAGAGCGAAGCAACGGAGCGGCTCGCTCTCCTCCAGTAAATCTACTTCCTCCAATAGCCAGGGGCAAATAATTTTTTTAAACGTATTTACAAGAAAAAGACTGCTTCCCTCATGATTCACCATCACGATGATACAAACGGGTGAGTAAATTCTGTGTCCAGACCGGTCAAATTTCAGGAAAAAAACACCAAAAAAAGGCAGAGACTAAAGTCTATTACACATTTTACACCCGAGTGTGTCAACTTTCACAAATGATTTCTAGTTTTTCAGAGCACGAAGCTGACTTTATTCACGGTCAAAACACTCCTAATGACTCGCCGATCAGCGCGAGTCACGGTTTTACAAATTTTGAGGTTTCTTTTTTTTTTTCCAAATGACACTTGGAAGCCCGGAAAAGCTACTGCAAGGTAATAGTTTACTTTTAAACTTCTGCATGATTATGAAATGAGGAATATTTGAAGGATGAGAGATGAATGATTAACAGAATGGTTGTTCAATGCCTCCACTTTTTTCTGAAAACCAACTAGAGCAGTGCCCAATTAGCATTAAACAGCAGAACAAAGACATGAAACCCAAGCTAACCCAGCCTGAAGAGATCCTGGTGCATCAACATTGGATTTCAAAATTTTATTCACTGAAAGCATTCAGCCTTTTATTTTCCTTTTGTGAGCATGATTAAGAATTAAGTGCACAACACTGACGGCATTAAAGCTATGTGGAAGAACTAAGATGCTGAACGTAAGGACCTTGGTTTCTAAAAGCCTGTGATATTTTGCACATTCACAGAGATTTTGCTACTGAAAAAAGGTACTTAAATTTAAATAAGGAGTAAAAGGAAGCAGAGTAACATCTAGATAATCAGGAGTACACAGTACTAGGATAAAATCATTGAAATCCCATTTCAGTGGGACAGCATCAGTACTCTTTCGACAAATTCAATCGTTTACCAACCAGCCAACAGATGTGTCACCGAACGTCCGAAGCGCAGACGGCATCCTAGACCTAAGTCTTACAGACTCAGTTTTCATTGTATTTAACTACAACCAAATGAGTGGCACCCCCGAACTTGGTGAGGTTCAGCTCCCTAACCCTGTTCTTAACCGAAGGAAGAGGGAGAAGACTTCAAATAACTTTAAATATAATAAAATTTTATATAAATTTTCAAGCATTACACTCGACCCAGAGCGGGGCCACATGCAAGAGGAGCAGATTTGCATCATAATTCTGCGCCACTCAGCAGTGAGTTTAGGGTAACACCTTCAAAAGACTGCCACAGCTTCGAGTCTAGATGCAAACCACAGCCTGTTCACACATCCGACTTCGGAAGGGAAGATGCTGGAAGATAACCGGGTTTGGAGAATGATCTAAACCCAACTCCTAGCATTTGCCTTATCAGAATCAAGCCCATTGTCTTTCAAATAAAGAATACAACGGGTAAGGAAATGAAAGGACCTTAGTGCACCACAGAACTGCTCAGCCACACTTGGTGGCATCTCTGCCAAAACAAAACACACAGACACCCCCTGCCTCCCCAACCACACAACCTGCTCTCCCTTCTTAAAGGCTTAAAACGCAGGTCTTGGTGAGCAGCGTTAGGACTTCAAATTAAAAAAAAAAAAATAAAAAGCCATCCCTAGAAATCAGCTGTCAAAATAAGCAATGAAATGCACGTTGCTGCTGCTGTTATTAATGAATTTTGCTGTTCATCTGCAGCAAGCATGCACTGCTCCGGATAAAGGTGCTGTTCTTGTGTATTCTGCTTTTTCAGCATAGTTTACTTAAAAAGCAAAGAGACTCACTACAGTTTTACCATAAAATTCAGGGGAAAAATGCTTTGGATTTTTTTTTTTTTAAAGGAAAAAAACCCTCTGAAGAAATGTTGATTAGGAAGAAATTTTAGAAAAACAGTTAATATTAAACACCAATTTTAGTTTTAATTCTGATTATCTGCTAAACTTGAATGTTTCAACAAGGAAGTAAAACTGAAAACTGACTTCCAAAAAATTGCACTGGCCTTTAGTAGAGCCTAAACTCATTAAAATCATATGGTTTTGGTAAAAAACATAACTTGTATCTTAATACTACAGCATAAACACCCATTAAGAAATTTGCTTCACTGAACAAAACACTGCTGAAGCCTGTTTTCAGAAGTATTACCTGGTATTTGTAATTAAACAGATGCATCTTCTTTTTTTTTTTAATTAAGAGCCATGTTTTCTATCCATATAAAAATTACATAGCATATCCAATAAAAATTACATAGCTTTTTCCAAGAAATAATGCAAAACACATCTATCTGAAGCACCACACTACAGAGATTCAGCAAAGTTGGTTTAGGATTAGTTTAAAATTACACAAATGACAGATTTTTCCAGTTACAGTGAAACTATTTATTAAAATACACTGCAACTCATTAATTTGCTTTTCAAAGAATAATCATCAATATTTGACCCTCAAATGCATGTCACTAGTCACAAGGTGGTGGAGAAGATTTTTGGGAAACATCTTTTTAACATACTCTGGAACTACAGGTGGGTGTTTTCTCAAATGGACACGGATGAAGCACCAAACCAAGAGGAGACAGGGAAAAAAAAAGTATTTTCCCTATGCCAGCTTAATAAACAGTAAAAAGTTATTCAATGCTTCAGTCAATTTTTACTAGAACTAAAAATACTTCTTTAAACCCATTTAAAATCCTTACATTTGCGCTTTTGAAAGGCATATTTTTCTCCTCATGAGGTCTTTGACTACAGGTCACTCCCGAGTTTCTGGAATTTTGCTTTCAGAGTGTGAACGCTGCAATGCACAAGCTGTGCGAAATGCTGAGTGCAGCGCTCTATCAAACGTTGCTTTACTATCATTGTGCTAACACTTCACACGCACGCAAAAATCAATCAGTCCACGATTTAGGATAGAAAGTTCCCATCTTATCAAAACCGCCGCACATGTGCGCGTTCTCCTGCTTTCCCAGAGTTTTACAGAATTAGCAAGTATTTTCAAGAAACACTGCAGCTGCCTACATTTTAGACCTACATTTTCGGAACATTAATACAGTGGGGGTTTTACTGCTAATGAAACTTTCTCATTTGTAAGAGGCCTCTAACAGCAAGTGATGATTAAGCAGCTGATTAATTCTAAGCAGTTCTTAAACTCCATTTATGCCGGTGGAAATTACAGATGTAAATAAGAACTTCAGCGGCATTCAGTTCTGCATTCTATCCCCTGTTCAGCAGCTGGAATCAGTACCCCGGTTGTGATGAGCGAGAAACGCTACGCCCTGCAGGGCTGAAAACATGGAAATCTGTTTTATCATGGAAATACTCATCTGGAGGGAAACAGCCACCGGAGAGCGGGTGCAAGCCCCGCTCCCAGGCTGAAACACGGCGAGGCCCTGCTTGGAAAGGTGATGCAATATTGAGTCACAGCCCTGTTTTATGGATGATCTCTAATATCCACAGCTGTTAATTTGGAAAAACCATTCAACTGTTAACAGGGGGCTGATTTGGTCACTCTGGCACGCACACTTTGTCCTTGTCCCGACCTGCTTAGGGTCTGGGGACAAACAGCGTTGCATGCATTTTGCTCAGATTCAGCTATTTGGGCTAATCCAGCTACAGGAAAACATCCTTTTAGGAAATGCCAGCACTACAGTTCAAACCCGAAG